ACCTAACCTTTACATTGTTTTATCATCTAATTTGATTACTCTCTAAATCACAAACGGTACAATGAGTGCGAAAGTAACGTTTTTAAACCCAATTTTAAGCCAAGGCAAGCACAATATGTAAGGCATATAGACTTATTGACCTGCCTGCACTGTTTTATGTGTTGTGAACTGATATGGACTTGCACGTGATCAAAGTCTTTAGCAAAAATCTTTTTATTCTGTACTACGTACGTCTGATATAGGTTTTGTCAAGTTGATTTGAAGGAGCTCCATCAATTTGTTTCTAATGGTAACGAGTAGTCCCATTTTGGTGTTGATTCTTACCATTCAACGGGTGTAGATTTAAGATCTAACTTTTGCTTGATTTTTGTTTTTTACTGAGGTGATCTTATTTTCAGATTGCATATATGCCAGGTTTATTTTTATTTAATTGCTATTGTTTGATCCATTTTCACGTTATTACTATAATTTACTTTAAGTTCAGTTTTGTTGCATTATTCAGGTATATTGAAGATATTATTTACAACGTGTAATATGTTCAGCGTGATTTTTCAGCTTAAGTGGTAACTGTGTTGTCTGGACTATTGTAGTTTTGCACGAGTTACCAGCTGTTCTAGGAGGTAAAAAAAGAGTTGGAGAAATAGTAAGGGACTGAATCCTTGTGGCATTTTTTCTTTTAAGTGGTCTCAGAGTTTATTTTGTGATTTTGTGTGCCTACTTAAACTATTGTTAGGATAGTGATAAAACCAAGGTGTTTTTTTTATTTATTAAGTAACTACGGATCGTTACAGGTTATACATTGCATGTTCAGTCAAATACTGTAAAATGTCTGCTTAAGTCACAAGAGATTAGTGATTGAAAGCCTTCTTTCAGTTTTATTTTAAATCATATTTTGTAATTTTATACCTTGCCGTTGGCTTTTGACGAGTTATTTATAAATAATTAAAATCGTATACGTAAATATTAATTTAATATCTCGGAAACTACGTAAAAATAACTTAAAGATAAGTAGTTAACATTTAATTCAATGTTAAGGAATAAAATTTTGCAATTAAAATTCATAGGAGAGATGTTTAACATCAAATGTGCAATGGAGTGAGGATACAATAATTTAGAAAATTTAACGATCTGTTCAAACTCCATCATAGTTTAAACTGGGTAAATATTGCTAAGTGTGCAAAGAACAAACCACAATCAATTTAAACGGAAATAAATTGGATTCAATTTCTATGTGATTGAGGAAAATTCATCAGCATTTAACGTTATAATTAAAATGGAAGTCCATCAACTCTCATTAACAATTAAACCAGACCGTTTTCTTCCCTAGAGACCGTCTGGATGTATTGACCATTCAATATTACCTACCAAATAGACGACTCCAATAAGTAGTATTGTTAAAACTAATACTTGATGGTTTTAAATGAAATAATAAAAATACCATAAAATTTTTGCAATGTGTTTTTGTTACTTTGATTTTGTTCAATCGAGATTTATTAGCCTGAAATACATATTTTACAATACACATAAATATTTGGTTTAAATCGTAGTGGATGTATTTTATTTTCTCTCTGTACAAAAATTGCGATGACCTTACTTGTAGCATATATTAATTCTGTTAGAAAAGAGCGTATAGTTTTATTAATTATTCTCTTTGAAGTTTGACTTTATTGAAATAAAACAATCTCCACCAAATATTTTAGAATGTTCACGCTGTAAAATGCAGAGTTAATACGAAAATAGTTTAAGGGCATAAAAATCTAATTAAATAAAATGGCAAGTAGTGAACATACTAAAACAGACATATTTTATTTTTTTTTGTCCCCTTATGTACTTCTTCACAAGGTGTTTATAAAAAATATTAATATGATGAAACTATCGATGGGTGAAACCGCTTAAGTAGTACAATAGACAACAACTACTACTAACTACTAGTACTTATAGACAACGTTTAAATGATTTGTAGGTAAATTCACATTATATTGTATAACAAACCAAATGTGCACCATGTACAGAAATGGGTACGAAAGATGAATAGTAACACTTAGTTTATCGACAGGGCTTTTTGTTTCTCTCGGTCCAGTATCTTTTACCACGTGACAGGTGATAATAATTTATCACACGCCGTGTTGCCTCTTATTTGTTACACATCTACCTCCCGTGGACTGTTTGATAATAATCCGACACATCTACCACGCAATTCTATATAAGAATATATTTACCGACTATTAATTATTTAAAGTGTATATAAGGTATCATGAAGTAGAAAAATGAAATGTAGTATTTATATTTTTATGTGGATTATGTATTTTTCTTGTGGCTAGTAAATATTATAGATGTGGTGTAGTGGCTAAAACCATTGTGTGTTGAATTTAATTATGTTTCTTTCCTTAATTACATAATTAATAGTGGCTTTATATCATTTTTTTCTCTTGACACGATAGTATCTCCAGTGACACCTTTGTATTTTCTGTAGTACGATCGTTGTAGGAGAATATTTTAAAAAGTTTCTAACAACACACTGTGCAAAATAAGTAGTTTGTTTGGTACAATACATGACAATATTTTTATAATGACTGAAGTCTAAAAGATAAATTCTAATTCATTCTACTCTTCATGTTCAACATCCAACATCCTTCTTTGCTCAACCCGTGATATGTTTATTGTTTTTAACCAGTTAAACAAAATTCAAATAAAAAAAAATATTAATTCGATGAACTGATATATGAATGAAAATGGCAAATAAATATCAGTTATATCAGCTAGACAATAATGGCTATAGTTAAATGATCAAAATTTAATAAGCTAGGATATGTAGCATTTTAGTCACACTAGCCTAATTTAACTAATTTAACACTACTAATTTTTAGTAGTCTTGTACACCTAGTCTTGTAACTTATGAATAATTCAATTTGATAAGTTTTTTTTTTACCTGAAAAGAATTAACAAATGCAATTAAATTTCAATAATTTAGTCGAAAAATAATATAGCCCTTACATCAACCTACTGACCTTCAATAATGTATTGTGTAGAGATAAAATGAATGCAAAAGAGATAAGTAGAGAAGACGAATGAGCATACTTTAGTTTATTGACAGCTCTTTTGTGTTTCTCACAGTCCAGTATCTTTCCACCGAGTGACGGGTGATAGTCATTTATCAAGCACCTTGTAGCCTTTAATTTGTTACATATCTACCTTCTGTGTACTAATAAACACTTCACTGCAATCTTATGCAATTTCAAATCATGCATACAAGATAATACCTACCCAACAATAATTTCACCACATAAACATGTTAGCAACTGTTTTTTTTATTTTATTTATTTTTTTTTAAGAAGGTAGCTGATGAAACATAGGATTTAGATAATGTTATTCTCTCCATCAATTTTACAATGGTTGAACCAATCACTGACAATGTATTTCATTAACAAAATATCTAGTTCCTTTATTTAAAAGTTTGTCCAGTGTAAAATAAAGTTTATCACTTTCAAATCTCAGACTTTTTAAAAAAAAACAACCGCTTTGCGTTCAGTTTTTACTAAAGCAGTAAAAAAAAAAAAAGGAATGACTTTGAATAGAGACAAACAGGGCCTGAAATTTGGAGCCTGATTGGAGGTTCCTTCGAATGCAGTTGACTGAAATACTTACAAAGGACTGATCATAGTTATTGATTTAAACAGAATTGGTCTTTTGGTCAAGTTTATGCCCTCTAGCTTGATAGCTATTAATAAAATACCCAATTATATATCTCTTAACGAAGAAAAAAGAAAATTTTTCGGTTTATTTACCTGATTAAATATGGTCTTCCAAATTAATATGGCAGTCGAGTTAAACAGTAGAAAACTTGACGGACAATTATTTAACATAACTATTCTATTATTTTACCAAGCTAAAATTAGCAAATCAAAAATCCATTAGGTCAATAGCCAGTTGTTTAATTGTTTTACTATTCTGTACGTGCAAAAATAAGCATTCTAAGTATGTTTTGATATCCTTTGTTTTCCACTTCTTCTAAGTCTTTAAGTTTCATTTTATTTTAGTTTACCAAACATGTGTATAATTTACAAATATAATGCATTTGTAAATAAATGCCACGAACGTACGATTTTGTACAAAACTAATTTTACTCCAAATGCTAACGACTACTGTAGTTTTAGATTAGATCTAATTTTCAACACCCTTAATAAAGCCCCCGTTGGCTGAATGCGCTGCAAACAAGCAAAGTTGGGAGCTTTTATCCACCACTAATTACTAATTGATGAGTTTTCAATTTAGGCCCCTTCGTTGCGTTGGCAAGTACAGTTGTATGTTCAATACACAATGAAAACATTAAACTCAATAATTGTCATTATTTATCATGCTTACATTATCTTTCGATATGGCCTATTTGTTTCTTGCATGACGATTTTTCATTGAAACTTTCCTTGGGCATATTATTATCAATACTTCAGAACAGTCTGTGTTTGGAACTATTTAAAAAACTAAATGTTTTCTTGTTCGTTATGGTTCTACAGGTTTTAGAGTACATAATATTATACGAACAGTGAATACATTTGTGATGCATGTAGCTTTCTTCAAACGGCAAAATAGCTTTTTACATCCATAATAGATTTTTGTTTGTATATCATTACGAAATGGAAACTTATTTGGGAGCTGACTTATAGAACTAAGAATTATTAAAACAGAATTTAGCTTAGTGATTAAGTTGATGGTGCATTATGATTAACATTTGTTCATCACACGGGCCGAAAGTCTAGATGACGGAAAAGGGGATGTTAAAAAGGTAACCCCTAGTAGTATACGTACTTATTGGTATGATCATTTTCTTTAATCACCCTATGAAATTCATATAATTTTAATTACAAGAGTTAGTGGAATGGAATTAAATACACAAACTTTCAGTATAACTTTACTTAATGGAACGCTACTCTTGTAATTTCTTGTATCTATTGGCAAATCGCCATTGGGAGTCAAATAAAACTAATATGAATGCTATGTTTCAGGTAATGTGGATGGGGCGTAATGGTGAATGGCCCCTTTATTAGAGTGATCATCTTGGCCAGTCTGTTTCGACACTCCAGCCCCGCCAGTAGGGAGGTTCACCCCCAAGAGAACGAGACTGACGACGATTCTGACGGTACGTCAACCACATTAAACTGACAAAGAAATCTGGCTTATTAAAACCATCTTTGCCTGTTTATTACGGTAGATGTTTGGATGGACCTTTGAATTGAGCAAAATAAACATCACTTGCAACACAAATTTGTTCCTCAGGGTTTGACCACGGCATATACAGCACCTTGAAGAGATAAATTTGTAGTTAATACCTTAGTTAAACTAATAGACTTAGTAGGTATAAATTTTAAATTAAGATCATTTTTGAAAATGTAATAAGCTTTTACTCTGTACAATGGACAGTAACCGTATGTGTTTTGAATATTGAACTAAACTATCATAACAGAGTTTTTTGTATCTCTAAATATTATGGAAAACCAGAAAAGATTTATGTCTTCTTTCAAGACTGTAGGGTTTTGATTTATTGTGTTATCATTTATGATATTAATTTATTTTTTTTATTCACAGCCGGTGTGACCTGTTACACTTGTGTGAACGTGTCAGACAACTCCATGTGCAACGAATTTGCCATCGACCATCCCTGTCCAAAAGGTAATTTAACTTTACGATTTGTAAGACGTTGATGGCATTTTGAACTTGGCCTTGGAATTTTTCATGGATCTAAGAGGCTTATGCGTGGAACTTAATCAAACTGAACCATAGATGAGTCGGTAGACCTAAATGGACAGTACTGATAAGGCCAGCCCCTTAGGGGGAGCCTCCAGTGACATTCCCTCCATTCAGGGTGGGGGGGGTGTTTAGCTCTCAGTGACGCCGTTAATTCCGCCTCTCCTCAACTACCTGTAACTGTGGTTGTGACTGAGTCCTACCTGTTGTGTTCGACTGACATTTTGTGAGGCATATCCTCGACTTTGGAAGTAGCCTCGTCCTGGGAGGTGAAATACCTAGCCCCCAGAGGGGAGGTAAATGCTCCGTGTTGGTATCGGCATTTCAAGTTGGCCACAGACATGGTCGACTGGGCATCGGGTCCCAGTGACATTCCTTTATCCAGGATGGAGGGGTGTTTAGCTCTAGGAGAGATGGAAGTACATCATAATCTCTAACCTACCTGTGTCTGTGGTACTTTGGGCTTCGGCCTGCTTGTGGTGTGCGACCAGCATTCAGTGGGCAAATCCTCGACTTTGGAAGTAACCTTTCCTGGAGGTGAAAACGGGCAAGTACCCGCAGCTCACGGGGACACTCAAGGGCAACGTAACTTTCCGCAGTGTGAGGGCAACGGTTTGTAGGTACTTATGCAAACCTATCCCTGTCTCTGAGCACGGACGGTATGGTTATCTTGAGTGTGGGGGGTTCTTCCCGGAACCTCAATTGAGTCAAGGGTGTCGCCACCTCTGGTGGATAGGTTCATCCGGGTGGGTCCCACTTCTATACCTGCCTCCTTTTGGGAAACCCTGATGGCCTGGCAGTGATGTTGGGTCTGACGGGCAAACGAAGTAGATCGGGTGCTGGGTCCGAGCCCGCCAGGGGTATCTGGGGATCTATCGCTCTGGATATCTCTGGTTCCCAGCAATGGGTCAGGCCTCGATCGGGCAGCGGTGTAAATGGGAGGTTGGGGTTCCCCCCGTCAGCGTGCTGATGGTCCCCTTCCTCCTGGCTATTGATGGCGGGTTCTGCCTGTCAGGGATGAGATAGGTCCCGAGTGTTGCTTGCACTAAATGCGTCGGGGCGCTCTACTATGGACCTCTAGGTTCCGACCTAGTGGAACCCAGGTGGAGTGACGCTTAAACAAGCAGCCGGAATCCCTGGTTAGGATTGAGGGGCAACCCTCTTTCCGAAGGGTCTGCTTCGGCAGCCGGCGAGCCTGATGACCTTAAGTCATCCGCCCATGATGTGCTAAAGGTTGATGCGTAAGCTTCGGCCTACATCATGGGGCCCGGGTATGTCCTGGAGGATAGGTACCGGGTAAGCAGTCAGGGGGCTTCGGCTCTCATGACAACAAATAATAAATAATAAATAATAATAATAATAAATAGTACTGATAAGGTGTGGCCATGACGCAAATCCTTAACATCACTGAATTGGTTTCTTAGTCCATGAGTCTTTTAAAAGATCAATCTACTCACGAAAACAGAACAGCCTAAAACCATCATTATCATGAATACTTTACATTGGTGGATCTTTCAACGTTTAATTTAAAAGCTGCAACACATTCAAATGCATGTTCGGTAGGTCAAGTATTTTTGAATGGAGTTTTCCAATTGTTTTCATAGTTTACTGTTCCCAAACAGGGGAGAACTTCTGCCACACCTTACACATAATGGACTCTAGAGGAGCCAGTGTCGTTGTCAACAAAAAATGTGCAGACAGCTCAGAATGTTGGCCGCAGGGAGTAGGCTGTGTCAACATTGACTCTCAGACGGTAAATATCATTTATTTTGGGGTAGCGAGCTGGTCTAATGTTAGAGGTTTCGTTACTTGAGGTCCCGGATTCAAATTCCACCAAATCACTGATGTTTTTTATCAGTGTTTTTATCAGATAAAGTGATAATGACGAAAGTCATAAAGCTGCAGCCTAAAGTAATGTAAAAGGCCAAAAGAGATGGCATATTTGACCAAAGTATGCAATTGACATTAGTGCACTTTTAGGGGAATCAATTCAGCTATTTCCAGTCCCTGTCTATTGACAAACTAGCTACAGATTTCGAAAGAGGAACGCATATCTCAATTTATTAATTGTCAAAGTAAGTCTTTTTATAAAAACTTGATTTGGGTATTTTTCGGAAGAGTGCTTCCACTATTTAAATTATGGCAAAAACCACAGTATTATAGGATTTTTTTTTTACTTCTGGTTAGTTAAAAAAAATTTGATTAAAGCTATAAACTAACCTGGCCTAACCTAAACTGTGGGTTTTCCACACATTGAATAGTGGCTGCCCTCTTCTGAAAAAGTCAACCTGATTTTATTTTAACTTAAGTTTAAAGCTTCTCATACACCAAAAATATCCTCAGTTCAAACCGTTTGTAACAGTTACCTGCTTTTTTTAAGATCAAATATATAAAAAGTATTCTTTTTTACAAACTAAATTAAAACTATTTCACAAACTGTAATGTCTTTGGCTATGCAATGAGCTGATTGAAATCAAGTACTTTTTTCTGACAGGGCTTTGAAATGAAGTTATTAGTCTGAGTAATACTGCATAATATTCAGTATAAATCTTTGATGTTTTAAAATATGTTCAATCCACACTATAAATCATTATGTAAATATGCCCAGTTTTGAGAAACTGTAAAGAAAGAGGGGTATACGTAGCTATTATTTTTTATGTAAATATAGTGGGAATATGTGTTATTAATATAAATTAAATGTCTTATCCAATTAATAGGCGATAAGGCAAAGAACTATTTGAAAATGTTGAATAGCGAGTTGAATTTAAAGAACATGTTCGATCTATGTATTCGTGTAAATTTTTCGTGGTTTGTGTTTCAGAACGAAAATAATTGGCACATTTTACATTGACAAGCGGAAAGCATAATTCAATTTAACATATAGCTGTTTTAATCATATTTTGATCAATCATTGTGTACAAATAACTTCGGGTGATTAATTTAAATCCATAAAGCACAAAGCTACGGCAGTTATTCTTTATTTTATTTTCAAGCTGATATTTTGTATATAAACTCTTAACTCTTTACTGACACTCCAAACGTATTTTCTTGCATTTAATGCTTTGTTATTACTGTATTCAACAGTGTAATCTGAATGAAGTACACTTCGGAGCTCTAATAAAATGTGAAGCGTATTGAATTTAGCTTTAGCGCAACACTTACCTTGATTTGCCAGATAACATGAATGAGATTTAGATATAATCATAATGTTACTGCAGCTCTATATTTCTACGAGTTTTTTTTTATCTTATTTCGACTCACTGACAGATGATCACTATATCTCAAAACATAACTACCTAGAATTATCAAATTTGGTATATGGGGTACCAATATGGTGTAGAAGTGCAATAAAACGGGGTTTAACGAAATTCTAAATTCAATGGGGCATAAGCGATTTCTAGTGAAAATCTAATACATATTTTTTATTATTTTATGACGGGGAGCAGTAAGTTATCTATAAATTGGAGATTTTAAAATATCTAATAATTACTACGGTCTGCTCGTAGCTCAAATTACAGAGTGCATAACTTTTAAGAATTTTTTTATTGATTGATTATTTTCCATACTGTAATAAAAATGTAGGTCCTGATGGAGTAACAATGTGCAACTATTATTTAAGTAACAAGGCATATAATGGCGACAATACTCTAGAAATTACTGGAATCGTTATAGATAGGATAAAAGAAACCATAATGAGATGATTAACAAGTTTATAGAAAGTTTTAATATATTTCACATATCGTCATTAAGTTATTTTTTGTTCCCAGGTTTGCGTATCATGTTGTGACGAGATGTACTGCAACGTCACTGTTCCAACCAATAAAACAACCGCTACTTTCTCCAGTACCCGGAAGAATAAGAAGAAGAAGCAGTACACAGTGTTGTCGAATACCCGCGCAAGCTGCACAACAGAGCAGCCAAGCTACCTGACAATGACTTTAGTGTATTTGGTGACCTCACTAAAACTCTGCACATTATAGACGATCAGCTGTGATTAGTGCAATATTTGTGGTCATGTTCATAAGTGTCAGTGCGTTAAAGAAGTCATTGCAACCGATTTAATACAGGTAAAATAGGGTCAAATGTATAAGATTTGGATGGTGGAACGTTGTGCTACAAAAACTTTGGCATATCTGTAAAACAGTATTATTAATCGTAAGTAATTTTTAGGTCCCCAACAGAGAATGAATAAAAAATTGGTATATTGCTAAAAATATATTGTCATTTGCAGTTTCATGATTTCTCTCAAAATACCGAAGCATTATAAGTTTTGTTTAAATTATTTAATGTAAGGAATTTCACACTCATAAATCTTTTTATTCGTATTCAAACACGAACAAGTTGTTAGCAAGATTTAAATTTGTGTTCATAGAAATGCAAGATGTATCATAATACATTGGTTTTACACATTTCATGTCTGAGATTTGTTAAGAGAGCAGACTAATTCAAAACGGCATAGCTTTTTAGTAATCTTTATAAGAGGACCGTGTACATATTTAAGTTATTGACTGACTTAACTGTATTTGTCAAGTTTTACTGTCATTGAATCAAGAGTTCACGTATTTTACAATATGTATTTGGAGACTATACCGGTTAAAAGAATCTCTTGGCTATCCAAATATGGGTAAAGTAGAATTCAAAGCACCCCTAGATACATATTACCAACGCATAAGTATATTATGTTATTTCCTAAAGAACTAGAAGGATTTTGATAGTTTATTCCTTCCTTTTATCATCAGAGCTTGTTGAAATAAATTTATGTCATAATATCATTTTTCACACATTATGTTTGCACATCTTGACTGAACTCCTTTTATGAAAAATAACTGATTCAGCAGCAACATTGTGCCGTAATAAATAAACGAGTTAAAAAGAAAGTCGAGTCAAAACATCTTTTATGAATTTATCATAATAACCTCATATCATGAATCATGAATAAGTGTGCTTTGTATTCTTCTATCCCTTAATTGAACCTATTTACTAGTTTAGGTATACATAAATCTTCAACTCAAAAACGTTTTACAAACTAAGATTTTTTAAATATATTTTGTGTTTGTAAAATAGCAGGTAAATTATTTTTCCATTGCCTTTAATATCTTTTTGAATCAGACCCAAAATAATGAAATTGTGAATATTGATTGTAAATAATGTATTTACGAACTCATCAGAGTGCTGTTAAATATATTTAATATTTAAAAAAGGAGGATTATTATATTCAGAAACATTTTTGAATAAATGTTAAAAAAATGTTTTTGTTAAATAAAATCCACTATTATCAACAAAATACGACTTGCGATACTGTGTTTTTGCAGGATATTATAAACAACTTATATTGCATTATTTGTAGTTGAAATTTCATAGTCAAAATTTGTCTAATTTTAGCACGTAACGATAAAACGATACAATGTGCTCAACGGCTGTGACAATGTTATACTTGGACATTTAATTTAATATTATTATAAATAGTTTCAAACCCTAATGGAATATGTAATATGCAGAATATGTAAACTGTTTATTATTTAAATATAAAAGACATTGTATTAACTTCTACCTAAGTAGTTATCATAATGTAAAATATAAAATTATCTGAGTTTTTATTGACAAATAAAGATATTTTGGAATTTTTATTTTTAATTTATTTTTATATACATATTACGTCTCTTGTTAATAATGATAATTTATAACCTAATACTCTTGTATATAAACGTATATGTGTACATGCTAGTATTATTCTTATAATTATTCTTCCTTCGAATAGTAAAACTTTAACAGGAAAGCTCAACGATACTAAATACTTACTTTTACAAAAAAAAAAACAATTAAAAAAATTAATTAGCAAGAAAAATAGCTTACAAGCGTATATTATTTATTATTACTTATGTTTGAGTATTCTCAAATTAGTACCATACTTAAATTTATTGTTTAAAATGGAACTAATTTGAGAATGCTCAAAGACATTTCAATATAAAGTAAATCAATTTACCTACAAGTTCTGATCTATTAACCTTAGTTTTAAAATTAAATATATTTAATACATAACAAATATCATTCTAAATACTTTGATCAGAACCCTACTTGTAGCTGCCGTAATAATGATAAAAAATTGCATTTTGTATTGCCTTGACCCGAAATGGCTTGACTAGTCTAAATCAATCATCAGTAACATTGACCAATAAACAGTATCGGCAAACCAACTAATACTTATTTATATTATCCTGTTAACAACCCTTATAATGGGTAAGTGGTGGGAGTAACTATTCCATGAAATAACACAAAAACCTTGCAACAGTTTGAATTTTGTTTGTTTTTGTTTTACCATTTTGCTTAGAGCTAAAAGGATCAATCATAAATTACAACATTAAAAAAAGGTGTTTTGTCCGTTTTGTTCCAAATCTAATTTTCCGTTACTTTATGGGTTTTCATAGGTCAATTACCATTGTAAATTAAATATTCCAAAACTTAAAACTCTCGTAGAGATAAAAAATATAAGTACCATACCCGAAATGTCATCAAAATCGTCCCAAAGTTTTAGTCTGTAGCTCTGCCCCCCAACCCCCACCCATACCTCTTTGAACAGTCTTTCTTGTGTACAAGTTGCCCAAAACGTATAGTTACACTCAAATTTGAAAACGTTTAGGAAAACAATATTTTCTCTATATACCATGAATAGGAAAAGAAGGTAAAAACTTGATAAATACCTATGTCGCTATCGTAAATATTTTACGTATTTAAGTATTAACTTGAAATGATTTGAAGTGTAATATAACTAATAATGTAAGAAGTATTTAACAAATTCTGTATGTATCACATTCAGCACCATTAAAATGATGAGGTATCTATTAGTCTCTCCTCCAAACCTTACAGCACTATTAATAGCTCAGCTGGATTAATCACCAAAACGGCCTCATATCTCTGGACCTACGCTATGCAGCTATATGTTATGGACCTCAAGGCTGCATGGGTATGTGAAATATCAAACTATTTATACATTACTGTAAATGGGTTTGAAACTGAAATCAATAATTTTATTTGACAGGGCGTTTGCTCTGCAATAAACTTCGCATGGTGAAGTAAATAAAAAGATACCATTTAGCTAATATGTATATCAAGTATGTACACTATCTATAATATAAGTATGTGAATAATATCAGTTACACGCCAGACCTAGAAGGATATATTATAAACTTATTGACTGAAGATTTAATCATAATAGGATAATGAAAACAAATACAGAATTTATATTAAAAATGAAAAAAAATACCATATATAACTAACTGAGTATGCTTCATCTTAAAACGAATATATTATAAACTGCCCTTTTACACTAAAAGCAGGATAGATTTTTAACGGTTCTATCCATATTAAAACGGAAAGATGTTAATCACAGTTTAAAAAAATATCCATTTAAAAGCCAGTCTCGAAACTACAATTATTCTAAATCAGTATTAAATTCAGTAACAATAATTTTAACTAAATAAAATGATTATAAGAAATAAACAGTGCTATCACTACTCTCACATATGCACTTCAGTTCATAATAAAATACTTTGCACTGGAGCTTGGTACAGCAATAAAAATATTTACTGGTGCTTATATTTACCTTGTATAAAAACATGTGTGTTTACACACATATTATAATTTACAGACAGTAATCCTTGGTGACCGTCCTCTGATCTCATCATTTACAACCAGTAAGCTCGTTGAGCGACGTATTATCCCATAACTTACACCCAGTAAATTTAGTGACCGTCCTCTAATATCATAATTTACTGCCAGTAAGCTTGTTGAGTGACGTAATATCTCATAACTTACACCCAGTAAATTTAGTGACCATCCTCTAATCTCATCATTTACAGCCAGTAAGCTTATGAGCGACGTATTATCTCATAACTTACACCCAGTAAATTTAGTGTCCGTTCTCTAATCTCATCATTAACAGCCAGTAAGCTTGTTGAGCGACGTATTATCTCATAACTTAAACCCAGTAAATTTAGTGGCCGTCCTCTAATCTCATCATTTACAGCTAGTAAGCTTGTTGAGCGACGTATTATCTCATAACTTACACCCGGTAAATTTAGTGACCGTCCTCTAATCTCATCATTTACAGCCAGTAAGCTTGTTCAGCGACGTATTTTCTCATAACTTACACCCAGTAAATTTAGTGACCGTCCTCTAATCTCATCATTTACAGTCAATAAGCTTGTTGAGCGTTGTATTATCTCATCACCTACATCCAGTAATGTTAGTGACTTCTATCATTTCAAGACAGTGAGTTAGACAAGAGTCGTTGATTAACAGGATGTGTCCTGGGCTGCTATCACAAAGATGATACGCATGCGATGCTGCGATATTTGCAATAAACTAGCGTGAAAGTCACAGAGAAAAACATGGTTAAGGGATATTCAACATTATGTAAACATTTTTATTCCAACCTTGTATGTTAATTATTTGAATGGCCACTAAATAATCTTACAGAACTGGGTGATTATCTGTATTTAACAAATGTTATGATAAATTGATATGAGGAATGTTTTACATAAATGAAAACTGATGAGCACTAAATTGAAGAGGGAAAATTCGTAAATAACTAATACTGAGTCTATTACAAGATTAATTATCCAACAACGATTAAAAATATTAAATACAAAATTTAGGCCTACATCGTCAGTTTTTATACGTTTAAGTAAATTCCAATCCCACCGTAATTTAGAGATAGAATTAAGAATGTCTCGGAGAATGCTGAAGAGCTTCTGTAATTATATCTTCACCAAGTGGTTTTGTTGACACAAGTTTCCGTAATTAAAGTTGTGGGCTTGACTGCTGCATGATGGATATACTCAAGAAAACACTCTAATTTTCAGAAACTAAACATATTTAAGGTTTTTTTTATAAACTCCCCATGAACAGTTGAACTAGTGTATTTTTGTATGTAAATTTATGTCTTGAAGAGTAACTTATTCGTTACTTTTTGTAGTGTCTACGACAATGGAAATTTTAAATTCTATATAAATAAAATTACAGTTTCGTCTGTACATTGCTTAGAATTATGCAGTTTTTGGTTATTTTTACGTTTCATAGCCTAAGAAAGCCGAAAGGAGTCATATCTCGTTTGTCTGTCCATTCTGTGACTCCGTCTGTAACGCCAAAATGTCATTTTACGTGGCCTATTCCTTGTAGAGTACAGATAAAGATTCCAATTATTTTTCTGTATTCACTGGATTGGCGAGAGTGTCTTTGGCTATCAAAATATGGCCTAACTACTTTTGAAAAAATATAACGAACCATCAAAAACCCACTTTTGTTAGATTTTTGTCAAGCTTTCTCCTAATGTTTACTATTCATTTTATGAAATAACGAACAGCTGTTTGGATCAATTCTCACTTCTAGCTGTCACTGATATGTTTAATTGTTTACATTACATTTTGTTTACAAATACTGCAACATTTCCAATCACATTTTGTACGCAAATCGAAAACCATTCATCGAGGAACCAAGTACGTTAATTGACCTTTTGTCTTGCATAACGGATTTAATCGATCGCAAGTACTATAATGTTAACTGTAAATTAAAATAATCATCATTCACATCCAGGTCAAGAACCTGCAGATTCTATGTCTATAAAATTCAACTTAAGTTTTGATAACCAGGGAAAACACAGCAAATCAGTGTTGTATAAGACTGGGAAACTTAAATTTTTAAATAATCGCTACTAATAGCCTACAATCGAGATTTAACGGCGTTTCGATCGTTGTTCTATCAAGTAAATAATTACTACAGTACTGCAGTGGGTGATCGCGGGTGTTGTTGCGACCCCGGAAGACCTTTACGATTTCGTTGTCAACGTTACAAGTGAGATTAAAAACGTTTTTCTTACATA